GTGTTTGATTTTATTTGCTTTTTTTCAATCAAGCGTGGAAATTAATAAATTAAATTGCATGCATTAAAATAAAAACGTTGCTGAACACAACCTATGATATTAACTGGCACGATAGCGTCTGCCGAGTTCAGCTATCCATTATAATCCAATAAATCATTTAATCTAATATGACGTGATGGAGCTCTTAAGTTAGTGCCGAATTAGAAATGAAAAAATATGCTGATTTAAAGCTTTTAGTAATATTTATTTGTAAGCCAAGTTATTGCAGAGTACGGGACCTAACTTATAATGCTTGCTCATTGTGTGTTAAACGCTAATCTTTGCCTTCTCACGCACACTAAGTTTCGTTACTAGTATTAGGAACTTCTTAAGACTTAATGTGTCTCATAAATTGGTTATAATTGTATAAGACTATCAGACTGACAACGCTAGAGGAATCATCTTTATTTGTTTGTAAAGTTTTTAAAATAAAGACCCCAAAGGGGTCAAAAAATTAAACTTTTCATATGAAAAGTATAAACTGACATCAATGAATTAAAATGAGCCTAATTTTCACATAAAAGCTTCTGGACTTCGGATTTTTTTTACTTACCGACTTCAGAATCTATTAATATGTGGGAGTTACTTTATTTTCTTTAAATTGTTATACCCGTCATTGCATTAGGTACCTATCATAAAAATAAAACTGGAGACTGCTCACGTGTATCCAATTACAAGCCAATTTCGCTAGCCACTTTTATTGCAAAAGTTCAGGACAGTCTGCTTGTTGAACATTTGAGTAAACACTTGAAGCTTAACCCTTAGCCTTGATTCACAAAAATTGCAAGCCATAAAGTTAAACTTTTTATACATGGTAGAGCCATGCTGCAGTTATATTAGTAATATAGTTGTAGCACGAATGGGTCGGCTCAACCGGGAAATGGCCACGCTCTCACAGAATAACAGCGTGAAATAGTAGCTTAATGCAGCTGTGCCGTATAGTGAGTGTAGAGAACCGGAGACCCTTTTTGCTGGAAACGAGGCATTCCATCTTAGTCCTCACGGGTGACAAGGCATCCGCATTTTGAATCACATACGAGGATAGATGGTGATGTCTATGGGCCACAGCAACCACTTACCATCAGGTGGACTGTGTGCTCGTTTGTCACCCTATCCTATTAAAAAAAATGTGCGGTTCACACAGCGCCCAAAATGCACTCCCCTCCCTGGACGTCAACAAGTCGAGTTTACCTAATGAAGTCCCATCCATCGTCCTGAAGACGTATGCTCCCAAATTGGCACCGATTCTAATGCGTCTTTTCTGGTATTCCTGGTCCCTAGGCTAGTCCTAAAGCGCGACCGCTCAAACCCGTCCAACTACAAGCCTATCGTTATCACCTCCTTCTTCTCTAAAATAATGGATACCATTGTTAACTACCACCCAATGAGGTATCACCTGCTGATTAGTGACCGCCACACGTAAGGCCTTCCATCGGATTTGGCACAAAGCACTTCGAAGCTTTCCATCTATGGGCTTCCCGAGAAATTGTGCAATTGGATCACCACTATTAATGCTGGTGTTCCACAAAGCGTGCTATCACCTACAGTGTTTCTTCTGCATATTAATGATATGTTGCAAATCAATAATATTCGTTGCTATGCAGACGACAGTATGGGCGATGCTTTTTACACTGGCCGTGCCAACATTTTTCAGGAACACGCCGTCGAGTACCGGAACAAAAGTGTGTCTGAAGTTGAGTCTTTGTTGAACAAAATTTTGGATTAGAGGCGACTCTACTTCAGTTCAATGCCCAGAAGAAACAATTTGCGCGTTTACTGCTAAAAGGAACCCCTTTGTCGTGTCTCCTCAGTTTCAGGACACACCCCTTATTACCTCAGCAAGCATCGCAATCCTCGGTGTCGACATATCGATTGACGTGTAGTTCTGTTGTCACCTGGAGAGGAAGGCTAGTTTGATCTCTAAAAAGCTTAGCGTGCTCAGGAGAACGACTATATAATATATATTTCATGCCGACACACCGCTTGCAATTTTACAAGGCGCAGATTTCATCTCTGGCCCGGGACTCCTCAGTGCCAGTTCCTTCCACTCGACCACATCCAGAATCGTCGACAATCGAGTCATCTCTGTTTGGCTCGAACCACTGGCGCTGCAATTCTTCGCAGATGGGGACATGTTACTTACTTTTGGATTTTCTATCGAATTTACCACGGGGATATAGTAATAGGAGAAATAGAGGAATAGTTCGGATTAATTCCAACCGCCAAATTTCACCAACGTACGTCACCACAAAACTCACTTTACCATCCGTATCATCTGGATGCTTGGCGGTCCACTACTGTGTGATTTGCTAGGAGTTTTCTTCGTCGTACGACTTCTGTGTGGAATTATTTACCACCGGCGATTTTTGGATCGTCTTAGGGATTTTCAAGAAACAAGCTACTCCATTTTAAAAGGCCGGCAATGCACCTGCAATTGTGTTGTTCTGATACTGTTCATGATACTTACCATCAGGTGAGCCGCATGTTCGTTTGTTCCCTCTTTTATAAAATAATTAAGTTTTTTGTCGACTTTTACTTTCCATTAAAGATTTAATAATAAATATAAAAAAATTAACGATCATCAGTATATTTAATGCTCTTTATTTTTATAGTTAAATTAAGTCCTACATTAACATTTTAATATGACATATTATTACATGTAGAATTTATAAAATAACAGAAAGAAACCATGAACACAACAATAATAATTACAATAAATACCCACATGGATACAACAAAAACGAGCGAGACACTTCTTATTGTGCCAGGTTATCTTTGAAAATTCTCCCATAATTTAACAAAAATAAATGCAAGTTTACTTATACTCGTGAAATATTGCAGTTTTAAAGCAATTTTATAGTTATTTATTGGTTTATAAAATCAACAAAACGTTACGAACACAACAATATGTTCGCATGTTAAATTTCGACATTTGCTTTCATGAAATAAATAAGGTAAAGAATTTAAATAATGGAGATCATAAGTTGCTTTGGAAATCTTATTTTTGTGTCATAAATTTATAACAAATATATATAATACATCGTGTAACCGTGTAGTGGTGGTGTAAGAATATCCACTCCCCTATACCATCCCTGTCGTCGACAAATAAAAATTAAACAGGAGATATACAGCAGTATCTTCATTATAACAACTCAAAAATTTAAAACAAAATCGGTTAACAACCCATTTGCCAAGCGTGACAGCTCTGGCAAAATATGGAGTTAGAATCCTAGTTGAAGGCAGGGTGAGAGCTGTGGACTCTTTAGACTTTAATGGATAGACGACTAATGGATATTAATATATTAAATTGCTACTAAAATAGTTTTTATCTTAACGATGTGATGTAGAGATCTGAGGCTGACGTGATCGTAAAAATATCTAAATTGATGAAACATTTAAAATTAGAAAAAAACTTAGATGAAACGAAACAAATGCAACAATAAATAAAAGTACAAAAATCTTTGATAAATCTCATACTCTCGTTCAATCTCTTCACGTTCTACCACAGAAAGCCGATCTTATTGGTTTTAAAAAAATACTAGTGACTTCCTCTCATTATTTTTAGTTGTTTTATACCACTATGAGTAAAAAGGTCTGCTATACGAGTATATTACATCTAGATATCTATTATATATAATTTTGTTTCTTAACAATTATTTTATTATATACACCTTATTGCAAAAACCATAGCAAATCGATAGTTTTACATAAAATTTTCCATCTAACGTGTTTTTGTAATCTGTTTGATAAAAAAAACATTGGATAACTTACGTTCATGTTTTTATATAATAAACTAACTCGTCTGCCGGCGACGCTTATGTCTCATATAATAAATATACTCGTATTATATATAAGAGCTATATGCGGACTGATCAGGACTGAAGAAATTATGTTGTCATCATTTATTATATTGTAACGCTCCCCCTTCCCTCTATATATAAAAATTAGGCCGTCTGATTTAAAATATAAAAATAAAATAAATAATAATATACGTAACCAGGCTAATAAATATTGATCTTTCCCAAGGATCTTTCTTAAGGTTAGTATAGACTGTTTCTCATATCAGTTTCACAATCAAGCGCAGCACACACAAAGATCTGTCACAACATGCAATACCGCAAGTAGCAGTAAGCATCAATGCACTTAGATGTAAGTCAAACTAAGACGCAGAGAGTGCCATTGGAAATAGCGACCCGCCAAACAACCATCGCAGAGACGCAGTGCTGCAGAACGCAACAAATATCAATACGACTATTGTCGGGCATAAGGTAACGGAACCCATAATGGACAGTTTAAGACCAAATTTTTTATGTTTTCTACTATCTTTTGTAGATAAACGTTCATATGAATGCAATTGAGGTTGCAAGCGATTAAAGAACTTATTGGTAATAAGTTTATTTATTGAAAACTATACTATTCTTACTACTTTTAGAGATATACTTAAAAAAACAAAAGCATTTAAAAACACCAGTGACGGACAGGGTTAGTTCCAGTTTTGAACATCCAATATTGGAACAACCTCCAGTCATGCACATCTAGTGATGGACACTGAACATTTATGCAAGGAAGAAAATAAAACTTAATTTATATTAATCGGTCTTTCATACTTTTTATTGAGCACAAAACTATTAGTTTTTGTATTAAAAATATAAAAGCAAGTAAAATAATAAACCCTAAAAAGAAAAAATATCCGGTAAATATTTTTTCATTTCCTTAATTTTATAGAACCCCCGCTTATTTAAGAGCAAAGGGTCATTAATTTTCTCTATAAAATCTTTTACCGTGTACCATATTTTATCTGGCTTATCTGGCCGTCTGAAAAAGTGTCCTGCACGTAACACCGTTAGACTTATTTCGTATAAATTTCGTTCTGTTTTTTCTATTCTACCCGGAAAATATTCTCCCTCATATTTTACAATAACGTAGGAGCCATTGGTAACACCTACATTTTTCTTCGTACACTAAGTTTTCTTGTTAGAAACTATTTTACTTAAAGGTTCATTTTCAGAGTCTGATTTCCCACTTTGAGCATATTCGGAGTCACCGCTTTCAGCATACTCAACTTCCATGTCATCATTGTCTTCATCGGAAAACAAATCTTGCTGCCTTTAATATTTTTCGTTAGTTTTTGTTTTTGTTGTTGTTTCTTTTCTATAATCATCTTTTCCTTTAATATTTTTCTGTCTTTTCTTTGTTTCATTCATTTTTTTCATTTTTCTTTTTCTTCTTCTTTTTTTTCGTTTCATTTTCGATTTTTTTCATGTAATATCGCCACGTTTCACTATTTATAGCTTACGGTACACGCTCCTTGGTACGTCGCTTCTTAGTTTCGGGTTTGGGCCAAAATAAGACACGTTTAAAAGGTGACGGGATTACCCAGTCTTTTGGTAATGTTCTAGAGGTTGAATGATAGGGCACTGGTGAATTCGTTATAACAGATTTGTGTGGTTAGGTGGTGTTGTGGTGGCATATACTGTTGAGAAAGATTACTCATTGTTTCCTTGTCCAGTTGGGTGATCGATTATTTTTTGTCCTGTTCTTGTGCATTCAGGGTTTGCGTATTCTGTTCTGTTGTAGTCTGTTCTTGCACATTCTGTTCTTTTATGTACTTTCTTTGTACACTAAAATTTAGTGCTTATGTGTTTTGCTCTTGCATTCTGTTTTTCTGTTTTCACTTTTATATTCTGTCCAATTTTATTTAGTACTTGAGTATTCTTTTCTGTTGTGACTTCCGCACTCTGTTCTTCTTTATGCTCTCTTTGTGCATTCAGTTCTTGTGTATTTTGTTCTGGCCTAATCTGTCCTTGTGTGCTCAGTCTTTTATGGTCTGTACTTGTGCATTCTCTCTTTGCATGTACTGTTCTAGCATTTTTATTCTCAGTCCCAGTTATGGACAGGCAGTGATGGACATGGTTGTACATTACTGGATTACGCTATAATTTCTTAAATATTTCAAGAATAAAACGTAACATATTATTGTCAGAGTTCACAGAATACAAAATTGGCGAATTTGTTCAAAAATCCAGTAATGAACAAAATGTACATGACTGGGTAGTAACATGTTAGTGTATCCAGTGTTAAACATAGCCTTTTAATTGTTTATTATTCTTTCCGTTATAAAATGTGCAAGGTTATATTACAATTCTTGATCTACCCCTAAAACACGAAACAAACAGACATTTAATAAAATATGCAAAACTATTTCAGAAAAAACGTAATTGTTGAACTCACCAGCATCACGATGCTTACAATAATTTAGGATGTATTCAAATAAACGTCACGACCACGTTTTTGCACTCTTCCTGTGAACGAACAAAATGTCTCACGTACTGTCAAACGAAAAACATGGCATTCGGTAGGGTCTATCACTCATGGAGTATATTGCCAGTTATAAGAAATATTCATAGTTTGGCTATTTTTGAAAGATAAAGAATGAAATGTCCATCACGGGTGCACTGTCCATTACGGGTTCCGTTACCTTACACCATCATACAATCCTCATCATACAATCATCATCATAAAATCTCAGCAGACATCACCACCCGCATACCTCTACCAACAAGAACCACACGATGCTTGAAATCAGACATAGCACATCCAAAGATTTGTCACAAGACGCCATAACGCAAGTAGCAATAAGCATCAATACACTTAGATGTGAGTAAAATCAAGAAGCAGAGAGCGCCATTGTGAATAAGGACCTTCCAAACAACAATCGCAGAGACGCAATGCTGCAGAACGCAACAAGCATCAATACGACTATCGTCGGACTTACACCATCCCAAAGTCCCAGAACCAGCACCAGAGCCACAAAATGCATCAAATCAGGCGCAGCACACTTGCAGATCCATCACAAGACGAAATACTGCAAGTAGCAATAAGCATTAGTGCAACTATCATACTGGTGGCGCCCCCTCACAACACAACCACATGTTTCCTATCGATTTGGAAACAAAATTAGTACTGTTGTTATAATAAAAATATCACCAACATATCATAGTAACAAGCTACTAAAACGCCAGTAACCAAAAAACTACATAGAACTATAGAGCTATTATATATATTGCACTAAGACATACAATTGAGTAAGCTTGTTGCACTTAAAAGTACTATCAAACACACTCCGCAATCCAAAAAATAGCTGACGTATCATAACGCTATGCGCTAAGACGTCGCCCACAATCGGTACATGGTATACAAATCGGTACGGTGTGCGATGTCCACGAGCAAGTCGTGTTGCTACAACGAACCCGCTAACCACCGTCGCTAAGATGATATGCCTACGACATATCGGTTAGCGATTCCAAGTTTACCTCGGTCTCGGACACTGTGAAGCAGTCTACACCTCGTAATGCTTTATATATTTAAGACGTTCCACATGTTTGCTATTATATATCTTTTACGTATGTATTGGACTTCAAGCCACAACTCTGCTATTATAAATCTTATGCTTCTTAGAGACCTTCTATACCAATGTTTTTGTATCATAGACATCACTATCATAAGCCCCTAATATATCACTATACATTGTGCAACAGTAGTAGTCAGGCACCTGACCACTCCATTGACTTCAGGTATGTCTCCGGCAACTCCCTAATAAAAGCAGTCATTACTTGAACCCCGAGCGTAGCCCTCTCAATAGCTCGCTTACAGACCTTACAAATTAAGCTTATCAATGCATTTTAATTGTTTACAAAATAAAATCATCATATGACCTGCCAACTTCTTTTTAGTTTTATTATACAGTATGTTACGTCATTTTAGTTTGATTTAATAATGTTTCTAATTCTATTTTATCTTTTAACTTGATGTTGATAATTCTTCTCCCCATTCTGTGTTAACTGGTCTCTAGTTTGCACATATTGTCGTTAAGCTCCATGTTTGTCGTCCATATGTTATTCTGGGTAAAAAATATGAATAGAACTTTTATTTTCTTAAGTTTATATGGTATTTGTTGGTCTTTGACAATTTGTTTAAGGCATCAATATCTTTTTCACGCTATCTGTACTCTGTTAATTTTTTCATTTGTTATAAGATCTTTTGGTAATACTATCTGTCGAGGTACGTAATATATTATCGACATATTCTAATTTGTGCGGGGATGGGAATTTTATCAAGGTTTTTTATCACTTTAATGTTCGTTACGTTCGTTAAAAGTCCAATTCTGTCACTTTCGTACACAAGCTGTTCAAGCATCTCTTGCAGGCTTTTTTGATCTTCTGAAACTACATTTCGTCTACAAATATTAGATGGTTTAGTTGATTCCGTTGATGTTTAGCCCATAATCACTCCACTCGAGACGTCTAAATATGTTTTCAAGTGATGCCGTGAAAATGTTGGCTGCTAGTTTATCTCCGTGTCTCTCCCTTCCCATTTTTTAAGTTATATGTTGTAAATTAGTCGTACGTATTTGTTCTCAGCTTATTTGTTGCTAACGCTTCCCATATTCTTGTGTGTTTTAAACAGTCAAATGCTTTTTGTAACCCACATACGCCAAATAATATTTTTTTATAGGAGAGTGAGTTTTTTGTAGGAGAGTTTTATGGGTAAGTGACTACTGCCGCCCATAAACAACTGCAACACCAGGGGAATTTCAGGTGCGTTGCCAGCCTTTTAGAAAGGAGTAAACCCTTTTCTTAAAGGTGTCTAAGTCGTATCAGTCCGGAAAAATTGCCGGTGGTCGAACGCGGAAGAAAACTGCTAATGAAACATACAGTGGCGGACCGCCAAGCATCCAGATGGTGTGGATGGTATAGGGAGTTTTGCCACGATGTGTGTATGCCATATAAATGTCGTATTTGTTACATTTCTCGATAATTTATTTTATGGTGTGTATGTTGTCAATTTTCGGAACTAAGGCTCCAAAGTCTTTGCCAGAGATCTGTCTGCCAGTAAGGGCCAACTGTCAAAGCTGAAAACTGAGTGTGGCTGCATCGTTTCCGGGACACCTGAGATTTTGAGTGAGATTGAGAGGTTCTATGGGCAGCTGTACACATCATCGTTGGAGCCACACGCAAGTGTGAGTAACGATCCAAGAGCAAGTCTTATCCGACACTATTCCGATGATATCCCGGACGTCAGTCTGAGCGAGATTATAATGGCTCTCCAGCACCTTAAAAACGGCAGGGCCCCAGGCGAGGATGGAATTACAGCGGTGCTTCTGAAAGCGGGTGGAACACCGGTACTTGAAGTCCTTCAGAAGCTTTTCAATTCCGTCCTCCATGGTGGCACTACTCCGGAGGCGTGGAGCAGAAGTGCGGTGGTCTTGTTCTTCAAGAAAGGTGGCAACGCCTTCTTGAAGAACTACAGACCGATATCCCTTCTGAGCCGCGTCTACGTCTACGTTTTCGAGTCATTACGAATCGTATCGCACGCAGACTCGACGACTTCCAGCCTCCCGAACAAGCCGGTTTCCGAAAAGGCTTCAGTACCATAGACCACATACATACCCTGCGACAGATTGTACAGAAGTCCGAAGAGTACAATCTGCCACTTTGCCTGGCGTATGTGGACTATAAGAAAGCCTTTGATTCCGTCGAAATTTGGGCGGTGCTACAGTCCCTTCAGCGGTGCCAAGTTGACTATCGGTATATCGAAGTGCTGAATTGTTTGTACAGTAGGGCTACGATGGTTATCCGATTACAGGACCAGAGTTCGAAACCTATCCAACTGCAGAGAGGTGTAAGACAGGGTGACGTTATATCCCCGAAACTCTTCACCGCTGCATTGGAAGACGTTTTTAAGCTACTGGACTGGAAAGGATACGGTATTAACATCAATGGCGAGTACATCACTTACCTTCGATTTGCCGACCATATAGTCCTTATGGTAGAATCGCTGAAGGACATAAGCACTATGCTTAATGACCTCATTGGTGTCTCCCAACGGATAGGTCTTAAGATGAACATGGACAAAACAAAGATCATGTCTAATGTCCATGTCACACCTATGCCCGTAGTTGTTGGGAGCACTATGCTCGAAGTTGTGGACGAATACGTTTACCTGGGACAAATAGTCCGACTAGGTAACTCCAACTTCGACCGAGAGGTCAATCGACGGATTCAACTCGGCTGGGCAGCGTTCGGGAAATTACGACACATCTTCTCGTCAGGTATACCTCAATCTCTGATTGTACAACCAGTGCGTGTTGCCAGTGATGACTTACGGATCTGAGACGTGGTCCTTCACTGTTGGCCGTATGAGGACGCTTAAGGTGCGAGCTATGGAGAGGGCTATGCTCGGAGTTTCTCTGCGTGATAGACTCAAAAATGAGGATATCCGCAGTAAAACCATAGTGACCGACATAGCCCAACGGATTAGTAAGTTGAAGTGGCAATGGGCCGGCCATATAGCTCGAAAAACCGATAACCGATGGGGAAGAAAGGTTCTCGAGTGACAGCTTCGTACCGGTAGGCGTAGTGTAGGGCGACCCCCCACTAGATGGAGTGACGACCTGGTAAGACAAGCAGGAAGTCGATGGATGCAGGTGGCTCAGGACCGTGCTTTGTGGCATTACTTGGGGGAGGCCTATGTTCAGCAGTGGACTTGTGAAGGGCTGTAATGATGATGATGATAATGATGTTGTCAATTGTTGAAAAATCGCTTCGAAACCCTGCTCACTCTCTGCTTGCTTGGTTAAGCGGTTTAGCAGTACTTAAGAAAATATTTTATAGACGTAAAATATCAGTCTAATGGGCTATATTATTTTTCTTTCCTTTTTTACGAAGCTGTACTATGGTCGACGTTGTTCACTGATGAGGTGTACGTTTTGTGACTAAAATTTCGTTAAATAGACCTGTGTAATAAAGTCTAATATTATATCAGATGTTCCTACTATAATTTCGTTAGATATGCCGTCTTCTCCCGGTGCTTTACATCCTTTTTGTAATTTAATAGCCTTATCTTATTCTTCTTTCAGTAT